AGTGGCCTGCCAGCATGGACCAAGCCACGAGGGGCTAGAGACAGCTTTCGGGAGAGGCAAGGACGAGAATGAGAAGAGCTCTCAGCACCCCTTACTTCAGCAGCAGAACAACTGCACAGCCATGTGTTAGTTGTCCAAGCTCTTTCTGTGCAGGAAGGCAGGTGCTTTCTTCTACCACTACCTTTCCATGACACCTACACAGACCTCATTCCAGGGACAGCATTGAATGAAACTGTGCACGTAACAACTAAAGGGGAAAGGGCACATTTAAAGCTTTCTGCAGTGGAAATGCATCTTCCTGCAGAAAGCAGAGGAGAAGCCTGTCATAACTGAATCCATGGCTTTCAAAAGGCCGCAGAGCAGCTGTTTGGCAATGTGTGGGGTGGAACTGGAGAGAGATGCTGGGAAAGCAAGTTGGGAACTCAAGCTCCTCTGGTGTGTCCCCTGGCATCTTTCCTAGGTGGTGACTGTGGCTGTTTACAGCTTCTTCCTGGCCTGTCTGATCGGGCGGCAATTCCTGGATCCAGAAAAAGCCTACCCTGGCCATGAACTAGATCTCTTCGTGCCCGTCTTTACGTTTCTACAGTTCTTCTTCTATGCTGGCTGGTTAAAGGTAAGTCCAAGAAAATATGTTTGGAGCCAGAATCTGACCCAGCCAAGGGTTTTTCCCAGTGTGTGCTCACCAGGGATCCGCTGTGTTCTTTGGCCTATGGTCAATGTGCCAGGTGCTGGCAGAGAAATGGGAAGTCAACAGTGGCTGAGGGTATTGCCAAGACCTTCTCAGTTTCTGAGTGTGTCACCCTGGAGATCAGCTCCACCCTTCCTAAAAGCTTTGGTCCTGACTAGTTCTGGGGGAAAAAGAGAGGCAGTGGACTGCACTATTCCTGCAGTGGTGGTCTGCAGTTGCAGGAGGGCTATGTGAGCATGGGGCAGTTACCTGTGTGTACACTTGACTTTGCCCCCAGGCCTTCTCCCCTCAGAGAGATGGACAGGTATGACCATGATGACCCTTGCTGTGTGCTCTCCACATGCAGGTGGCTGAGCAACTCATCAACCCTTTTGGGGAGGACGATGATGACTTTGAAACCAACTGGCTCATCGACAGGAACCTGCAGGTAAAGTGAAGGCAGGATCCTCCAGACAACCCTGACCTGCAGAGGATCACTGAGGCAGGACTGCACCTGAGGGTTTAGCAAGCCCTGTCAGCGCAGTCATGAAGTTCTGCAACATCTCTGCCACCCACCTCCTTTGCCTGCTATGGGGTGGAGAATCAGTCCCTGTAACCCTTGCGCTTTCCTGAGGTGTTGGTGACTGCATGTTTAGGAGCCCAAGACCTCCAGAGGGAAATGGCTAGGAGAGCATAGGGCTTCCCAACAAATATGAGGGTGAAGGCAGCCAGCTCAGTGTTCCCCCTCAGCAGCCAAGGAGACATTCCAGGCTCCAGGAAGAGTGTGAGGCAAGATCTGTGCCAGGAAGTTCCCCCCACACCAGGGAATATAGGGCTTTTGGCACAGTTCGTACACAGAGACCACCTGCAGCTCCACCTCACCCTCTCAGTCCAAGCTCTGGCACACAGGATGAATCCAGGCTCTATTTTACACCTTCGCTGCATTTCATTGACACATCATTCCTACCTCTCCCTAGTTTCTTCCATCCTGTGTCTGTATCTAAAACTGCCTCCTCTGCTTTCTTCCATGCAGTAACTCCACTTTCAGCCCTTCCTAATGCTGAGCCCTTCTGTCCTAGTGAGAAAATTGCTTTCCTGTCTCCTTCGGCATCACTTTCCTTCCAGTTCATCAAATCTCTCCATGTGAAAAACAACCCAAGCGACAGGAAACCACATGCAAACCCAGTCACTCTCCTTGCTTCTGCACTGCACTGCACTGCTTCCTCCCACCCTGCATTCCTTTCTCCACCACTAACAGGCACAGTAATAATGCTGCTCACCCCGTGTGACATTTCGGCTGTCCTCTGCAGGTGTCCCTCATGGCAGTGGATGAGATGCATCAGGATTTGCCCATTCTGGAGAAGGACTTATACTGGAATGAGCCTGATCCCCAGCCACCCTACACCGCGGCCACTGCTGAGTACAAGCGCCCGTCGTTCCTCGGCTCGACTTTTGATATCAGGTGAGTGCAACCACAGCGTGTCAGAACAGCCCACGTCTACACCTCTGATCAGTCCTGTGCAGGAGATTACACTTGGGGAGTAAGAATGACCAGTAATAAGTTTCTCCATAGTCTGTGAAATCTTGCTCTAAGATACTTTTAGGCTCATCCAAAGACAATAGCCAACATCTTCCATGGAGAAGGATCCCTCTGACCTCTTGCCCCCCCTCCTCTCTCCTATAAGCATCCCTACAGCAGAGGGCCTAACACATATCTGGTAGCAATAGAGAGGCTTGCCACTAGCAGCAGCAGTCCCCGTGCTGCCAGCCTCTCCACCAGAAATCACCCGTTTCTGGCTGCGTGACAGCCTGTTTTGCCTTTCTCCAGCATGCAGAAAGAAGAGATGGAGTTCCAGCCCCTGGAGCAAATTAAAGAGAACGAGGAGGCCAACCACTCCACACCGTTACTGGGACATCTGGGCCGCCTCCTCGGTGTCCAGTCACCAAGCTTCTCCAGGTCCTCTTCCCGGATGAACCTGCTGCGCAGGCGAGGAGACCCCACATCCCCCTTCTCTCATTATACGTATCAAGACATGGGCAAGACTGGAAGCCCTTGCAGCATCAACCAGCCAAAGGGAGACTCCAGCTCACAGGAGCAATGGGACAGTGAAGAAGGAAAACTAAGGGAGTTTGACGCCTTCATGTCAACCCCATTTTATGAGAGGCCTGGTTTCTACAGTGCTCCACAGACACCCATCAGCTCTATCCCCATGATTTTCCCTTCTAGACGCCCAGGCCGCAAGAAGCCTCCTGCACTCTCCAGCATTGCTGCGTGCTCAACTTCTCTTAGGGATGTCATTGTCAACTCCTCACCTTCCAGGGTCAGTGATACATACAAGAGCCAGAGCTCCCTTGGCTCAGGTGCAAAGGAAACATTTATTTGGCCAACAGATCGGAGCAGAGGTCGTGACTCACTGGTTGTAACAGTAGAAGAAGAGAAAAGCAGCTCTAACAGTAAAAGCAGAGAAGCTGCCACCACAGGAAGCCCAGGAGCTCAGTCCACAGCATCAGACAGCCCTAAATTCCCCTTCCTGGCAGAGTCCCCAGACCACGAGAAGCAGGGTAGCTTCAAGAGTCTGAAGAGCCTGAAAGCTTCCCACCCACCCTGGCTAACCCTGGAGAACACAGCATCAGCCACTCCCAATTCTGAGCATTCCAGTGCCTTTCACACCCCCAGTAACAAAACCCCCGGAGGTAGTGCCTCCCTCTGCTTCTCCTTCACTCCCGTGACATCGCCTGTGCTGCAGAGATCCCACATGGGGAACATGGGCCCTGATGCTCGCAGCCTAAGTTTAGAAGATACAGCCAGTGCTCCAGACCAGCATTCAGCAGAGGCTTCCAGGACAAGAGATGCTGGAAATGGAAGCGCTAATACTGCTACAAAAGAGCCAAGAAGAGCAGAGAGTCCATCCCCCAATGACTCTGGCATCTCTCTAGCAGAAGGTGACTACGTGGGGCTGATGGAGGTGATCATGGAGACCAGTGAAAGCACATGTGAAGAGCAGATAGATCAGTACAGCTAGAGGAGACCAAGAGGCCCACACAGTTCTGTCAAGATACTTGCTGTATTAGTGATATCGCAGTATCTTCACACCTGGCCACGCTGGCACTCACCCGAACAGAAGGGCAGGGCAGCCAAACCACCTACTGCTGGAGCATGCAGCTAGAGGCCAGCCTAAGCTAAAGCCAGCACTAATAACCCACTGCTCCTGGCCCCAGGTACAGCAGCAGGCACAACTTCAGTGTTGCAACAGTAAAACAAAACCCCCTCTACATCTGTAGCAAAAGAACGAACAAGACTTTGGAGTGTGAAGTATTGGCAGATCCCCAACAGCAGGTACCAGCCTGAAGGATCTGGAGCACAGATGTAGCCCAAACCAGAAGAGGAATCCAGTTCTTAAGGATACATCTCCCCTTGTCATCACAGCACCAATTGGAACCTGAGCTTTATGTTAAAATTTGTCACAGTACCCATTACAAGTATCAGGCAGGACTTGCACTACTGACAAGAGGCTCCAGGAAAAGTAAAGGACTGAAGCAAGTCACACCATTTGTGACACAGACCCACAGTGCTTCACAAAGTCATGCCTAGCTGGTGGTGTCCAGTATCAGAAGAGCAGTGGGGTAAGGCAGGGCAGGTGCCTACAGTCAGTGGTGTTTGCCCAGCACACTGCTTCTCTTGAATTTCCACATCACATCTGCCACTGATCTGACAGTGCTCAGAGAAGTCAGCTGGATGGTAGCAGGCACCATACAGCTGTGAGTTTTTACTGTCTTCCCTATGACAATAAAAGCAAGACTGAAGTTCAGGACAATCTGTTTCATTTCCTCATTTTAGTTTCCATGCAACAATCAGAATTCAGAGAAATCACACAAGCTCTTTTAAGGAAGTCTTCAGAAATAGCTGGAGATCACCCACAGCACAGGAAGCACATGACACATTTACCTCCCACGTCCTTTCTAATGCTTCACAACAGCCACCTCCCCTTTCTGCCTTCAAGTCCAGCTACTAAACCTAGGCAGATGTCCACCAACCCTACAACTCCCCAGTGTCCTTGAGGCAGCTCCTATAGCACTGCTGTCACACTCCAGCCTGATCAGTGCACAGCTCTAAAGTCTCGATTCACAGTAAGTTTCCTCCACACACAAGCCAAGTGCCATTTGCTAGACATGAACATGGGAAAAAGGGCATTATTATAGAAGTGCCAAGTAAAACTTGATCCCTCTAATACATTCTTTTATCCCTGCCCAACTCAAAATGACTGTCACATCAGAGCCTATGGAGCACAATCCTGCATGTACAGGAGCATTCTCCCAAGAGAATCAGAAAAAGCCAACTTGAACCAAGTCACTTTATTGGATGGAGGGCAATACACAAAACACAAGAGAAAAGAGGGGGTAGTATTTGGTACAGAATATGAGAACTGTTTATCTAAATAGCTGAAGATACATGCATGGCTGGACAGTAAAGTTGGAGTCCCACTGAAACCCACAGGGTGGCTCTTAGCAAGACTTCAGCTCTCATTGTCACTGTCCCCAAGGGTGTGCTTGTCAAAGAGGTACTCTGCCATGCCATATTTTGGTGCCCCCATCTTCCGCAGGTTGGTCACATGGTCACCCAGCTCTTTGATGGCTTTCACCTGCTCATCCAGGTAGTGAGTCTCAATGAAGTCACATAACTGAAAGGGAGACAAAAGAGTTTA